TTACCGATTACCAGAGGATTTAGCTTATGCGAACCGTCAGCGTTGCGCATAGAGCTATAGAAAGACGTTCTTTATTCTTTTTACGTCCCGAAAGACGTGTCGTTGCCAATGATCTATCAGGTTCCAACCGATAAAACAGACCGGTTTCGTCCATATTATAAATCCTGTCTAAAGGAAATCTTGACAGTTTTTCACGCAATAATGGAAGATTTTCGATAATGGCATTTTGGTCACTTGAGCCTGCTTCACCGTGAAGTTTTCGTAACTGTATTCCATTTCGTTCTTTAAATTTATAAAGCCAACCAGAAGAGAATTGTAATTTACTTTCAGGAATTTGTAATCTTTCAGCAAACAATTTAGCTTTATCTATAATAATCGTATCACTCAAAATGGTACGATGTTGGTAAATTAGTATAAACTCCATAAGTGCTTGCTCAAGCTCGGGAAATTTGACTGATTTGTGCCGTTTCGAATTAGGGTTAGTGATGTCCTCATTTAAACGTTTATGACTGTCTTTTAAAATTCGAGAAACGGTTGACTTATGAATAACGTGTAGTGTGTGTGTTTGAAATTTGAAGTTTTGCGTCCTTTTATTGATTACACCTTGTTTGAACTTTGATACTGTATTTGAAACTATAGAGTCTTACGGGTTTTGTATCACTGCTACATTGTGTTGATAATTATCCGCAACAAATAAATTTACAGAAATCACGTGAGTTGCACTTAGGGAAATAATGTATTAGAACGGGACCGCAAAATCCGTTGCAATTGCAGAAAATACCAAATTCATATCGATCGGACGAAATTTTGCAAGTCAGGTGAAATTAAGATGCAATTTCCAGAAAAATTGTCTAAAGCGCGATATCTACTGGTGACATTCCAACGAAGGAAGGAGTAATTAAGCCTGTCCAATATCAGCCTGTAACGCCGAAAACCGTGATCGGTGGATATGATTAAAATTTATCACATGAGCACGATCGTGGCAGTAATAAATGCCCTTCCTATTGTTCCAGTTAATATTGTGCGTGTGGGAGAAATATGCAGGGTTGCGTGAGTGTCATTACTTATCTAAAACAGTAACACGTATTTAATGTGTTTAAGTTGGTTGGAACAGAAAAAGAAGCGATCATGTTTACATGGGGATTCTTTCATCCACATAATATGATCATCGAAAGACATCTGACTTTATGATCCACAGAACACAAAGCAAATAATTTGGATTCTTGCAAAGCGAATTTTGTGCTTGGTCTGTGTATTATGAAAAGACGCGTTTAAAGAAGAGCTATCAATAAGGGGAAAATATTGTATTGCACCACCGTGTCTTTAGCCCCGACTTGGCGCTTTTGGTGGAAGGATATTTCATATAATCGTATGAGAACCTATTAAGTTTTTTACTAAATAAGTAGAAACTGGTTTTGTTTGTTTGTTTGTTTTTTTTACAAAGAGAAAAAATTGGGAACCTATTACTATATATCAATGACCCGTCCATCAAAAATTTATGTTAAAAAACAAGAACGAGACAATAATGGAAGGTTTGTAAAAAACGCTAGGAAAGCATGGTGCTACATGGATTTGTATAGGAAGGGAATCACTGGTAAGTTGGCAGAATATGCTGCCAGAAAGTATAAGTCTCACCGTTGTATCCCTGATTAAAGTGATCAATCAAAAATCATTGGCTTCCTTTTTGCAACTCTACTGTATGCTGTGCTATTCTTTTACCTACCGAAACAGTAAAAATTTTCTTGAACTCTTTGGTTAGCTGGTCGATTGTTATGATTCTACCTTCTTCATTTTTCTTATCAATTGTCGCTCGTTCAAATTTTGGCTACTAGTCCTGGTCCATACTCCTTATATCGTTCAACAATACCCTGAACAGCTCCCTTTGAACACTCAACACTAGCAGCTATTGCAGGAAAAGAATGCCTCTCCCCCAAGTGCAAACTTATAATCATTCCTCGCCTCAGGTAATAAAAAAGATCATGGATTTCAGCATCAGCCGTGACAGTTATTTAATATAATATGGAGCATCGATGTCTTATGATAAAACAAATTCAATATTTCCTGGTAAAATCTTACATCGTATTAATACTTTGGGCATTTCAACTGTCTGTACCATAACATGGAAGTTCAATCGAAAAATACTAAGTTATCATCGAAATTAGAATACTATATACAGTCATCCCTCTTTATAGTCACCCCCTCTATAAGCACATCATATAAAAATCTCTTTATAAGCACACCATGTTTGAGAACTACTTACTATTACTATTGAACTTATAGGAAAAACCCTCTATATAGTCACAACCTCTTTATAAGCACATTTTCGACAAAAGTTGCATTGTTCCCGACAGCGTGACTATAGAGAGGGTTGACTGTATTATTATTATTATTATTATTATTATTATTATTATTATTATTATTATTATTATTATTATTATTATTATTATTATACAAATATTATACAAACAAATTCATTTCTAGTAAAATAAATGATTCGTTTAGACAATCTAATGCTTTGCGGTGTTGCATAAGATTGCCCTTTAACATCAAGTCATTTGCACGATTTGGTTCAACGTCATGCAAACGCTGGCATAAACATACAGTATGCTCCCATCAATATATATACCCAGGTCCCTCTTCTTTAGTTATCTCCGTTTTAGCCTTCTCCCTGGGTATATTTGTATGTGAGATACTTGCGCTTATGTATATGCCTTTGGTGTCTCTATCGAATAGGATTCCAACGCCTGCTTGGTGTGGGACACATTCCTATTAAGGGTGTCCAAAGGGCCTACAATCAAATGTTCTAATATTTTAATAACAGCATCGTAGTCACTACAGTCTCTGCAATTCATCACGAAACTAACCTGTGTCGTGCTTATTAATATTAACAACTGTTATGCCATTTCTAAAAAGTACCGTGGTTTATAGAGGTTGTAAAACAGAAAAATAGTCTGTGTCTGACGTTGTTAGTGGAAATATCACCACAAACCAGTGTGATAAGTAGTAGTAAAGCTCATACGTACGAGTGGGGGAAGCAACTGGAATAAAAGATTATGATGGAGTTTTGCGTTCCTTTATTAGTTACACCTATGATTAAGGTGTACTTGCACAAAAAAGAAAAAGAAAAAGAAGATTATGATGGGGTCGCGTGCAAACAACGTTATTAAATAGTACGGATGTTGAATTCTCATTGGGCAATATAAGGCACGTGAATTGAGAATCCAACTACACATTACCCTAATTTCACCGACTCTCAAGCGTTTAATCGAGCATCTTGGGCATTTGCATGTGAATGTAGCGACGTGACTAAATTAGCAATCCTGGTGAGGAGTGCGTGGAATCAGAGACGGGTTGAAGTCATGCTTAGAAAGAATGGTTTCCGTATTTGAATGAGAAGAGCCAGAAAAGGATGTACGTATAAAGAGGACAATACGCGAACATAATCTATGCGCTTGACACGAAAAAGATCGCTCTAAAAGCGTATATCTCAGTGTTCATAGGAAATGAAATGTAATGAGCGATGGCATGTGTAATAATAGCATTTACTGACGACATTTCAATGATTTGATCAATGTCTGGTAAATAAAGCCTCGCTGACCAGCGAGCGGAATCGTCTTTCTATCGAATCTTATGCCATTCCTAATCTCCCGCTCATCTTTAAGCTACCGGAACTCCTCTCATTTAATATTGTAATCATTTTTCATATAGCAGCATAGCACCGAGCTATCGAATTCTACAAAGCCGATAAAATCAAGATGTCCCTTCATTCTAATTGTGAACATACCTTTTACGTTACCTAATGCATAGTGCATTATCTTCATCGTCTTCCCACTTCTACATATTTGATGAACAGTGCGCTTCTAATGGAACTTCTTGCTCATTGCAAGTCCTCCTCATTGTACCTTATCCTTTTCATTTGATACATAACCAATTCTTCCAAACTTGCTAATGCCTGACAAATTTTCGATCCATCTTATCCAGGTATCCTTTACATCTCATCCTGATTTTCCAACCACATCCCGTCCAACCCTAACCTGCAAAGTTCTCGTCTCAATATAGTAATTATATCTCCCACATTATTGCCCGGCGAAATCACGTTTTTATTTTTCGTTTACTACCCTCTATTCTTCCTTCTACATAACGTATCGAGACCGCCACCATCTTCTTTATTCACCAGCAGAGCCATCAAAGTCTATATTAACCAAACTTTCCTTCCACTCCTTTTCTCGAATTTGTTCCGTCTCTTCCAGCCCATCCTCTTATCAAGGTCTTCGATGAGACGTAGCCATCTAGCCAAGCCAGTGCTTCCGTCCGTTCTTAACAAGTTCACATTCGAATTACGGTAATACATTTCTCAATGTCCAACTGCATCATCCAGCCTGGTGCTATCATACAGCCAAGCCATGACGCGCCAGATGTCGTAACCATACTCCTATATTTCGTATCTTCGTATCGGCTGGTATAGAACCATGCCCGGCTAACGAAAATGTATAACGAAATCATAGTTTCTATCCGCCTCGTTTTTCGTCCGTGTTTTCATCAACTATCCCTTTCCTACTGCATCGCACATCGCCACCGTTCCACCGTCCTCATCATTCATCTTCTTTCTATCTTCCTCTTCTTCCTCTTCTTTTCATCATATTATTCTAGTACGAATTTCAGATATATTACTCTCAATATCGAAATAACCTTCCCCATTTCCGGTCTGCTCACCTTACCGTTTAAATAATTCCTACTTGCGATTATTTTGTATGTTAACTTTTCCTGGGAAATAAAAGCGATAATTGTCATATGTTTATAAAGGATGGCAATTTCTAATCCAGAGATGGTATTTTATTTCTTCTTTGATTTGCTGAGTTTGCTCTTCTCAAATACGTCTATTTATCAGATCATAGCGTTAATGTCAGTCAGACTTGTTTCGCTGTAACAAGATTACCAACCATCGCCTTCGACAACTCCATTATACTTACAGACTGGCTTTGTAATAGTGACTCTTGAGCATGAAACCAGAAATCGTTGTTCAAGGGATAATCCAGGAATTAAAGAACAGTAGCATTTCTGAGGATGTGGCCGCTGGATTGGCGGTATAGCAGCAATGTATTACCGTACCACCACAGGGAATGTCATAAAGTAAATATTATATGCCTGAATTATGCAGAACAAATTTGTCGTAATCCTCTTTGCATCGTCGTTATTGTCGTTATCGGCACCCTTTCAAGTATACCGTTATTATTATAACTTTCCCACTGAGATGCTCGTCTCGGTTAACACCCTACTATTTATTGCATGAAAGTGTTAATATGACAAGCTTCTTTCACCATAATAATATCACGTCAACTGACAAAATTTATCATCACCTCTTCCAAATCCACCGAAGCACTGACGGGCCTAATATCAGTTGCAATCATCGATATCGCATGATCATCTATGTTTCACGCATCATCAGCGCGACATCAGCGCGTCGGGTCGGTTGTGGAGATATGGTAATGGAAATGGACCAATCATCGCTTGAACATCTTTCATCCACCTTTTCAGTATCGCTTCATGCTCACGGCGATATAGATTGTAAAGTATCTAGTCAAGTCGAAATTTTGTATGGCAGTTTATTAGATCAAAGTTCTTTGCCATGGCTGAACGATTGGAAATGTAATGAATTGATAATTACTTTTTTCCTGAACTTGCACATTTCTCTTTCTAGTTGAAAAATATTTATATGAAATTAGAGATCGAAAAATACTGTCTTCGCTTTCGTCATGACGAGATGTAATATGCAAAATATAAATATATATGTATTTATCGCTTACATCCACGTACAAATCGATTAGTCTTTATCTTTTCACTTCTTGATTCAGTCATTCTTTATCGAAAACGTGCGTTGAATACGAAATATTACAATGTAAAATGTGGAGGAGTTAAACAAGATGATAGCTTGGTGGTACAATTTTAATGCATATAATACTGTTACGTCATCAACATCCGTGCCACCGGCGAAGCTTAAAATTGGAGCATACCAGGTTATGAAATTGACTTTAAATTGTACTACAAAAGAGTACGGTTATCAGACCAATCCTCTCTATCCAATTCAATGTGTGACAAACTGACAGTCATTCTAGTAAAATAGTAGCCAAGAGTAGAAAAGGACCTGGATGTGAATATACGGTGCACTTATATAGAAGAATAATTCCTAGTGCAATTTATCATTAGGTAGTGGTAAGATTTCACCCAATTTCGATATGTTTAATGTCTACGATTTTGATACAAAGTTCGATCGTTATTACGATGGGAGAAATATAACGGACGTCCGCCATTAATATGGTAAATATACGATCGATATAATATGAGCATTGTTGATTACCTCCTTGACGTTTGTGTTCGATAAACGATTCCTTTCCCCTATGATTCCTATTACAAGGACATACTCATCCTAAACGGGACATTTCGGCTACTGGAAACGGCTATACTCTCCATGCTTTATAAAGCGTATTGTAAAAAGAACGACAAACCAAGAAAGCTTATCAAAAATGGAATGTCCTCAAAGACTTGTTTGTGAGTTTGCAAGAATATACTCCAACACACGAGTACAATAATGATGGCGCGATTAATATCTAATGAAAATGTGTCTACCGATATGCTGTAATTTGAGACTATTTATAGTTGGAATAACGAACTTTCTCTATCGGAGGGTTATATAAGACATTGATAGTCATTCTCGTTAACAGTGAGTTGATCGTATTTCTTGATTATCGTTATTTGTTGTACACTTTTTCCTTACGATTTTTAAGACGTAAATGGTATACTAAAAGAATCTAGGTCATCTTTTATATTTAACGTGATTATTGTTATATCGGGTCTTTATATTTCGATGTTACGTATAATCTTGGTATCATAATAAAGCTGATTATAAATCAGTTGCTGTAATCAAGCTTTCTGCTCGATTAAATGTTAAACGGACGGCATGTACTGTATGTGTGCTATATAGTGTATACTCGGTGTTCTCTAGCATATAGCAAGTCTGTTAACTGTGATAACATTGTCGCACATTACGCATATTCGTTATAAGACATTAAGTCGTCAAAGTAACGCGTCAATTACCTTCACTATCACGTGTTAACCGTTTTGCATACAGGGATGATCCGAGAGACTTACAAATTGCATGATTGCTTTGAAACTATGACTAAACTGAACTTGTAGACGATGGTAATAAAATATTATCATCGCGTAATTGCAAAAATATATATATCTGAAGCATGCACCATTACTATAATAATAGAAAGTAATATGTAAACATCAAATTATCATTATAAGACCAAGTTTAGTACAATAATAAAGTAATTGAGAAAATTCAAACATTGTTCTAGTCAAATATATCAAGACATTAATGAGAGGTAAAATGCTTGATCAAGCCGTAAAATACAAAAACGCAAGCATATTAATATTATAATGGTAAGGAATTATATTACATATTTATTATGTTAGTTATAAACAAATAATATTTATTACCTTGCCAAATTATAACTACTTGTACTAAAAATTTTAATAACCCGAAGTTGAAACTAGTATATTGAAGATTGGTGAAAGGGAGTCGTTGATGTAAGAAAGTCTCAGATTGGGCACGTTTACAATAAAGCCTGCATTAAACATTGCGCGGCTCGCATGAGTATCCGAAGAGAAAAAAGATTGATGTGATAGATTCTAGCAAGCCATAACTTTACAACGCGTGATCGAAGTAATTTCTCTGCGGGAGTTGTTTTCCGTTTGTTAGCTCCTTAGCCATAAGAGTATAATGCGAATAATGAACGATTTGAATAGCATTACCTGGAATTATCTTGATATAGTGGTTTTCTTTTTGACAGTTTGTGTTGAATATGCGTGTTATTCTTACTGATACCAATATACGGCAACTAATATCACGTGATATAAATTGTAATGAAATTCTGTTGGACCATCGATAACTTATCAAAATATCAGGAAGGATAACAAGATTATGATATGGCCACTCCACTACTAAAAGCTAGAAAGCAAACCGATTTAATAGTTACAACCGTGTGCTTACCCACAAGGTAGATGAAAAAGCTTCTGAATGAACGGACGTATTGGGCATGAAAAGGTATCAGAACCGGCCTGACGTTTTATCATGTACATCTTGCCGACTAGTTTATCGTGCCGTACTTATTATTGTATGACACATGCAGACCCTGCCTCTGAGCATTGGGGTCTGTCATGGGATCCTCATTTCTGGACCACTTCCTGTGGACCCCATAACAGCAATGACAAAGAAAATGTCTATTTAGGTTTATTGCTTTCCGAGGTTTGGCCATCATCTCATTGGACGAATAACTCGGGTAGTGAAACATAATCTCCAATTGCGTCGTGAAGAAAAAAAATGTGCAACAGTCGACAAACAATACTAGCGAAATACAAAGAACAATCCCGAGCATATTTGGTAAATGTTTCGGAGACCCGAACTCAAACCTACTGCATGAGCTGCTGACTCCCACGGTAAAAATAGCTTTGTTGTATTGCGCCACAAGGGTGACAAGATTCTTATCCGGTTCGAGGCTGAGTTGGCGTTTAGCGAATTAATTCTATTTTCTTCTTCTGCGAGGGATTTATTAATTCGTGTTGTTGCTTTCATGTCAATATCAAAGGAGTAGCAGTAGGAGGAGAATGAGCCAGCTTGCAGGTATCTATCCATTCATTCATATTTATTTTGGAGTGAAAGTTGCTCCGAAAACGTTTGAAAATTAAGTTTTGTTTATCCCGAGCACCCCCTCGTATTAAAATGGGGGTCGCATCTGGATGATCGTAACCTGGTATAGTAATTTTGAAGACAAAGGGCTTACATATGAAGCATAAATTATTGTGATGTGAGAGAGAATGTCACCAAAATCAACGAGCTCTTTATTTAAAAAAGTATTGTAAAAGAACGCCGACAGTGTTAAGTTAAAGTAGGGGTTGTCCAAAAAATAAGACTTATTGCATTTCGTGTGACGATGATAATTGTTTAATAGTGATTATCAAGTCTTTGTCATTGTAGTGAGTATGTGATCCATGTTCATAATACTTGATCATCAATAGTCCTTGCGGGTTAAATTCTTGATCCACGGAACGGCATTTTCATAATACTCACTCATATCGACTGATTATTAGTTATCAATAGTCCTTCATAATATGTTGGTTTGCTTTTTATTGCGTTATACAGTACATATGTGTGGTAAACTTGTAACAAACAAGCATATTTTCTCGATGACAATAGAGATATGCCTCTAAATCAATACGGCAAGTCAGATTTGACTTTATCCGATCATTTTACCATTGCTGAATGTTTAATCCTGGTCGCATACCTAATATTGTTGAAATTTTGGTAAGAGGTAAGAAATTATTCGATCACGACTTAATGTCCGATTAAATACTTATCTTGTCGTGGAAATTGAAGATATCCATCCCATTCATACGTAGGTACTTTAAAAGCATCATTCGGTTGAAAGTGACAACACATACTTGTTATAAGTATCGCACATCATCTACGCAAGGTTCAGTGTTAAATTATATTGATCTCTATTCGTCTAACTTCAGAACATTTGATAACGGAGTTTATCTTCAATGGCGCCAATTGCAAATGTGTAGAAATAAAGCTTCCCATTCACGAACAGGTGCAAATCAAAAGCGATTCTTTGAGAGAGAAAAACAAAAGATATAGATTGTTGTAAACAATAAGAATAATATGAGGATTAACATTATACCTTATAACATATCCTATCGATAAAAGACACCTTCCGTCTGATTAATTTCTTAACATAGCCGATATACTGTATGTGTTGAGCTTTATACTGCTTATTCTTAACAGAAATACGTATGCTAGATCCGCTTTCAATCTTTCTTCTTATTGCAGTAGACTATCGCGTAGATGCGACTGAAAAGTAAATATCATTTACCTAATATACATATAATGCCTTTTGTTTTGGAAAATACTAGAGCGCGTTAGTTGGTAATGAAGCTCAATAGTAACGTTTTCCGTCATGGAAACTACCGATGTTTGCTCTTCCCCACAACTAAGTTATTGATTGATTTTATGACATTCCTGCTGTAGTTCCCAGGTGTTTCTTCACACGCTTTCCGATCTAAGAGCCTTCACGCACGAAACACTGTCATTAATAGCTAGAGACAGGGACTGATATAAACATGATAAAGAAAAGTTGATAATACCGGCAAAACAAAAATACTTATGCTTGACTATTTTTTTTCAAAGTAGATGCGTGTCGAAACTGGTATTCATAAAAGCCGGTTATAGCCATAAGTATTTAATGAGACTAACATTTAGTGACATTGAAAAGAGAGGTTTGTTTCGACTAAATGCTTGTTACAATGAATACTCATGACTCACCTCTATAAAGCCTTTAGGCTCTTGTGCTTTTGAAGTATAAACGACTGTTGACTATGTAATAAATAAGAATATTTTTTCATTCGCGTATACTGTAAGCGTCGAAATGATATAGAATTCGAGTAAACACTTTTACAACCCCTCTCTCGCTAGAAAACTGCTGTTATACAAATAATTATTAAATGAATACTTTCCTCTATATGTTGGCTATGCGTCTTCTTGGGGGCAGTGGCAGGGAATTGGGGGGGGGGAGGGTCCGGTATCGTACCAATAGTTGATGCAAATTATATCAATAGCAACTCTCTTTCTATAATTATATCACAACAGGATATGTATATTAATATATTTACCATACATACCCAATTTGTATGGTCAGATAAGACTATTGATACCTTATAATAAAATAAGATTTAGCTGACTAATATATGATACGATGGGATTTTACTTCGCTCATTAGCCGACTAATATAATAACAATTTTCATTAATAATTCGAATACATACAAGTATATCAATCTTCACGTATAGAATATTGCGCCGCACTTTTATTATTATATTGATTGATGTTAATAAATTCAACGTTAAAACATACTCAACTTACATACGTAGTACACGTATCTGATATGTGTGCGGGATGATTGGAATGACAAACAACGGGTGTATGTGTTCCATTTTTATTATCGAGTGTATCAATAGCTTACAGATACTACTGAACAAAGGGTGTCTTCTTACGCTATCCATGTTATTATTTGCACCTTCTTTCTACATATCATATTTCGTTTATCTACCAAATACGCAGGTATATATGCATATGTAATCTGGACCCCCCATCTAATTGAAAATCATTAACAATATTGTGAAACGTGCACTAGAAGGAAGAACGGAACAACTTGCTATTTGCTATTCCGATCAAACCTTATGTCTACATGCTAAGCGCATCTGAATGGAGGAATTTGGCAGAAAATAATCTGCTGTATAACATGTCTATTGGGGTAAGTGAATACGCACTTGATAAATTAGGAGCTCAAGAACTCCCAAATCAGCGATATTATTAGGTTTAATACAACAATAAACTACGATAAGATTGATACCCAAATGCAATATGACGAATCTAAACCTGTTCTTTGTAGGTATAGGTAATTCGGTCACTCGACAAATAGACGGAAAATTCGCATGCATAAAAAGGCCCGGATGTATGAGAGGGGCGTTAAAACCATTTGGTTTATAAGGCTGCTTGAAAGACAAATGGCTCATGTACCCCCTTTTGAATTGACGTTGTTTTTTTCTGACTATTGTTAATGCCATTCACAATAGATATCGCTACTGTAAGCATTGACATACTTTTGTATTGTGGAAACTCCGGAGTTAATAATTAGTATATATTCCCTCCATATGTGTACACAGAATATTCAGTGTACAACAACGTCTGATTGCACGAATCATACGATCCCAAACGAGTCAATTCAATCTTTTTATACACTTTAGACTACTTTGGATTTCGCGGCGGGCTCGTACTTTTTGGATTGAAAGAAAAAAACAAAATAAAAGACTTTGAAAAGCCTTAACTCTTTTAGGCGTTTGTTTAAGTCAACCCAATATTTCACTGTCGTTTTTTATTATTATTATTTTTGACCAGAATACGCATAATATACAAGAGTCGAGTAAATAAAATAAAGGAAGGCACAACTCCAACTTCTTCAATACATTCTTCACCACAGCTGTGTTAAACTGATTGAACCTCCACTTGAGCTAGTAACTCTGGCTCAAAATTATACTGGTGAGTATGTATGGACAAGGGTAGTAATATAGTCAAGAGTATTATGACAGTTTGCGGGGGGGACATGTTATTTTGTTATAGAACAATATGTTGGTAAGGGGTTGGACTTGCGTTCTTATAACAACTTTGACCAACTTATGCAACGGGAAAGGTTTGGTAACTTTATGTTTGATTAACGTATTATGTCGATATGGAACCTTAATTAAGTTTACGTTTAGTAGCCATCAACAATAATGATAACTGATTTAGCTTTGATTAAACCCCGCGCGCGGCAAATGTAAACGATCATAGTATTTCAGAGATTGCAGCTACGAAAGCGGGAGTTGACAGAGTCGATGACGGTAGTAATTTTGGTTTAGTCTCTATCTTGTGGGAATGGGGATGTCGTTTGAAAATATCCAGTCGCTTATGAAATCAAAACTTTTGTCTAAAAAAAAAAGGTTATTGAAGGATCTCTAGCGTACCATTGTTGTTTAACGACTTGGGATTGAAGATCAGTCGTATGAAAAGACTATAGGTAGTGTATCGGGTTGTTATTTCTAATGGGCAATATTGGTTGATTTCAGCAAAAATTTATCGGCCAAGTGTAATTGGTTTACAATTTGTATCTCTCATCTCTATCACTTTGTTCTACCTTTTTGACGATACTGCATGACCACACAATGGATCAAGAAAACATCTTGCTTTCGAATCCGGTCCGAGAACGCCAGATAGGGGCTATCGAATCAACGGTGTGGAGCAGTAAACGACCTTTAACTTCCAATTTCATGAAGATGTCTTTCCTATATGGCTACCAATATTTGAGCTAGGTAATATGTCTCTGTCCTTTTCTCTTATTTTTTTTAGCTGGATAATAACCAATGATTTAATAACGTTACTTTTTTTTTCTCTAAGATTTTTTACGTAATACGAGGGATCTTACAGATGACGCAATTTATAATCATCTATTGCAGGGATCTCACTATTCTCAACCCAGATGATCGGCATACTATTGTGATAAATTATCAGAACTAAGACTGGCTGAAGCATTTTATCGGATTCTCCCTACATCAAGAGAACCGATCAAAGACGGTGGTCAATCAGCAGATTGTCTTTTTGGACGGCTGACGTATAAAAAACCGTCATTAGACCAAAGATGCACAGCTGCTCGATGAATTTCAAGGAATCTTCAGGTGATAGTCATTTTAATATAACGATATTGTCAAGCAGTTGATTGGCAGGTAACTAATTGTTGCTATCGTATACATTTTAGTACGTCAGAAGTGAATTACTATCATCGGTACCATGCTATTAGGGTACTTGATATCCGAGAAACATCAAATTAGACCAATGCCGATAATTTCAAGGATATTCAATCTTCAGGTAATAATACAAGTTCTTATGCATTAATACGATGTTGTTAAAATTGAGGACATTGATCATAACATCAATAATGTTTACTTGAAATAATCAGTGACATATATCTACCTGATGAATGGTAACACGCATCAGGTAAATATTAGCGGATATCTGATATGTAATTGGTGAATAATAAGGTTGTGCACGAGACAACGATGAAATTAACAAAATTTGATAACATTGAGAGGAAAAAAAGTAAAAAGTAAAAATTTTCTCTAGTAATCGTTGAATTTATACAATAAAGTAATATTTGGCCTTATTTCCATTTATTTACCATGAATAGTACAAGAAAAATGTCAGAGTTATGGAACTACACAGTTATCAGTAACATGAGTATGACGCATATTGCTAAATACGGTAAATATTCGACATAAATGTAAAATTAATACAGATAATTCGTGGAGTTTTTTTTTAATTTCGTTGGAATTTTAGTCAGATTTCGGTTTTTTTTAAATTCTATATCGCTTTCATGTTGCTCGTCATTGTTCGTAACATGTTAATTACAATAAACACTCTTTATTGAAAGGGAGAATAATGATAAATTTAAAATGCGGGGAAAAGACAAATGTAAGAACAAGTATCATAAGCCTAAATTTAAGGTGCGTAATCGTTATATATTATCATATTTAAAGTTTATTGCTTAATTAGTGATATTACTTATACCGTATGTGTGTGGTTGTGTAGCATATATATTTACAAATAAAACCACGCATATTGTTTATCTTATGTTGTCCTTATGTTTGTTATCCTTATGTTGTCCTTACGTTTATTGTCCTTACGTTGTCCTTAAGTTGTCCTTATTTTAAATCCTTAGAATGTTCTTATATTGTCCTTATACTTTTCTTATTTTATCCTTATATTATCCTTAATTTTTTTGCTTAATTTTGCCGAGGCGAAATCCTTATCAAAAAAAACACGTCCTCTAACCACTCGGTGGTCATTCCCAACCCACCGCCCAGGTCTTGCCGGCGGTCCGAGTTCAGTAAAGCTGCCACCAATGCCGCTTCGGCCTCGAAAGGGGCTCGCTGCCCCGCGGACATGGTCTGCCATATCATGGCAGCCATTATTGATATATTTGTCTGGCTCCAGCCATACCTGCTGGCCATACAGCCGTACCGCCGCCGAAAATAAAGGAAACCGTTTCGCCGGAATCGAGTTCCGGCCTCAAGCTGGCGAGCGGCGCGCAAACTACGGCGGCGAATAGGAGTTACAGGCATTTTATATGTGTATTATGGGATGGGTAAATTGATGTTTGGTTTGGGTTTGGTTTTATGAAGTTGTTTTTTTTTTTTTTAAAAAAAATATTTTTTTTTAAGATGGGGGGAACATGTAGATTTTGGTACTTATAAAGATTTTGAGCAAAATATTTTGTGTACTAGGACAATAGTTACAATGTGTTACATTTTATTAATTTTTAATAGCGTGGCACATATTTTCATTATGTTGTCTGTGGATTTTTTATTATATTGGCATAAATTTATTAATAACACTTAGGCGCAAAATATGTGTTAACGGGGTTATAATGACAAAATCAATTAAATTGACAATAGCAAAATCCTAATATATACAATTGTAACAATACGTTAAATAGACGCGCTAGACATTTTTGAAACCTGTGTCTGGTCAATAGGAAACAGGGTTACTGTCACAAATGGTTATCGATGGATAACAAACGAGCCATACGCAATAGACCTTGATTATTACATATTAGTCAAAATGGCGTAATTAGCACGCAGCAAGCTGAAACATAAAGAGGAGGCTTTGCACCATGCTGTGGAAAGCAAAGTATAAGGGTGAAAAAAAAGAAGTTGTTTCTATGTAACACGCAACATATGTGTGTGTGTGTTATAACAAGCTCGAATAGCTCGCGTTTTCGCGAGCCTGCAATTGTATTTTTTCTTTAAACTTTACATGTTTAAGCAAGCTATTTTCTAGTTTACTATACGTTGATAGTGTCGTGTTAGTTATTTTAAATTTGTGTATTGACGGTTCTGACATTATCTTGTGTAGATGTATTAAGAAGATTAGATGTATCTTCTTAGATAAAAAGAATTTACGTAGTACAAGTCAATGCCATGGGAAGGCGAGAGGATGTGAAAAATTTTTGTTTCTATGAATAATGCTTATAACGGATAGCTTCCTTATCATTATCCCATACCGGATAGATATGTAAAATAAACTAACGAATTAAGGTAAACACTATTACATGCTGTGCTGCATACGACTAGCACAAAGGGTGAATAAAATAATGAAGACTGACATTGTTAATGGGGGAGGGGCTATTAATTAACAGAGTCTTATTATTGAATTGTCTCGCCCCTCCCACCAACTTGAGATTGTGCCGTCGTTTGTTCGCAAATTTGGTCCTCATACTACTCCGTGTAAAGGGAGAAAGGCCCATAGTTTTGTTCTATTGTAGGTAGGTCACCAAAGTCCAACATAGTTAGTAAAACTTTATACATGATTCTATTAAAACGCCTATTGCTGGTGCTTTGATAGAATGGTTATACTATTAATATTTATTATACGTATACATGAATTGACAATAGCGACTGTGATAACAATAAAATAATGTACATCAACAATATAAATGTGACAATAATCGTATACATCGGTCTTTATTTTGACCTCGTAATAGTCGCATTTTGTTGTCACTCTCACATTTGCAGATCACAGTGATATATCACAACTGACTTTGATATTACCTATTGCTATCGCGTTACATTTAATGGATTTGACCTAAACAATTGTCAATATAAAATAAAATTGTTTATGTATCAATTCAACTGCGCAATTGTATTGACACAATTTTTTTTTCTCTTCTACAAGAAATTTGCTTCATGAGCCTTATCACCCGAATATATTTTCTTTACTATTACAGGTTTTTGATGACGGATCTACCGATCTTCACCAAACGCGTATTGATTGGTTGGGATAATAAACAAACCAATCAGGAACTTTACAATAAGGAAAAAATTATGCGCAAAGGGCTTTATTTGATTGGTAAAATTTCTTGTAATGAACAAGCAGAATAATAGCTCTCTTCAAAGCGTTGGGTTTTTTGAGTTGACAAAGAGAAATAATGAAAGAGTTTGCTAGTTATTTCATATTTATGTCACACTATCTTCTTGCATAAAATGTCACATGATCTGCTGATTTCGTATTTTATACGGAAAGAAAATACAATTAATATGGATATTAAGAAAACAAACGAAAACTGGTTAGTTTATTTCATTATCACTGAGCTCAGTTTAACTATTACTAAGTTGCATTGACATGCTATTTCTGGGGATTGAGAAGGTCCATTCGTAAGCTTGAGAAGTAAGCTTGTGAATGCAATGTTAATGCGCTTTTCATGTCATGTACATTGTTTTGTAGGAGAGAACTGTAAACGTTACGGACGGCAACTATATACCGGTAAATGTGTGCAAGCAGGACAGAGTCATTGATAAATTTGTTCGAATATATGTGGGCAAAGACAAACGGTTCGCCATCTACCTGCATATCATGTTATTTGTCTTTCCACACGCCTCTATTGTGATATTTACTCGATCACCAGTAGATCTGATAACTATATTGTCTTCAAGTTATAGGGTAAACGAAAAAACGACGGTATGAAGGGGAAGGAAGAGAAGGTCAATATAAAGTTGGGTATGGTATGAAGGTGACCGCGGATCCTAGCAGATTATAGCAATCGTCAACCTTGTCTTTGTTCTATAACTACCCTGTGCAGAGATTGTATCGAATAATCTGGACGTTTACATGTGGATCATCGGAACGTATCAAGAATGATGGGAGTGATATTCAACTGCTTTGTCATTATGTGATATTCTCAAAAATAATAAATAGTTGTCTTTACCCTTATTTTTTCTCTTACTCAAGTTTCCTGTTCCCGTGCTCACAGTCCATTCCATCCATTTACATACCCTCTTAAATTGGCATCAGGCTTCCTGACACGCATGTGTGGTACGGCAGTATAAAAGCATTATGGGGGCATAGTATAAGGATTGTGAAAACGATGTTCTATCAACTCTATCAATATGGCGTAATAGTACGTCGTTATTATATCGACTCTTATGAGGGTGAATGATTTCTTGAAGATCGCTTACCTAACGACAACACCATATCTAGTTACCCGATCAGCTTCGCTCAACGCCTCTACTGAGAAGTTCATCAGTCAAGTCATGTCATACAGTCCGATAGATGGATCTACATATCAAGTCATCAATTCACAACAACGAAGAGCGCCTTCACATTTTTCTCATCCGCGGCTTTTCCCTTGTCTTGATTAAACGAACCCCAACCAAGCTATCTTTAAGCATTTAGTATCTTATCCTACGAAATACTTGCATTAGTTGTTCTTAGCAAGAGTTGAATGCCATTCGGTTGGAGTACTAAGAGCAAAGGAATATATTTTAAATTTGTAAGTCTGATAGGCAAAATGCAGAGCCGCCTTGAGGACGTGTACGTATCATCGCAATTATAATACGTTTAACGAGATAAATATTGACCAACGCTAATAAAATTTTTCTTAACAGAGAACACAAAACACCATATAAATAATGGAACTTTGTTTTCGTACTACTATCTTCTCGATTCGTACCCTGCGATTCGATTAGTTTACTGCCAAAAATTACTGTTATTAGTCTCACAATTATAAGTTATTTCCGTCTTCTTTCCCGAGTAAACGAAACTTGCTATTATATCCTGGCATAAGAAGGGTACATTAACATAAGGTTCAATTTATTGTTTATGAAAATTTCAACCGTATGGGAAGTACGTTTGCGGAGAGTCTTATTGTTGTCTGTTTATATTTCTTCAAGAGCCTCTTGGCCCACGTAAATGGAGCCTCATGGAGAGCGCAACGTGAAAGGTATTTAATAATGACGACAAATAAAATTTATGAAACAGACTTGTACAAGTTTTGATGATTGTGAATATCCGATAGAAAATGTATTTTCACTTCCTTAATACCAATATTATTTTTGCAGACTTAGAAATCGGTATTGTAATAGCGGGCCAGTTACAATTGACGGACAGCAGACAAGCTATATTCTGTACTTATATTGACTTTAATTGCGATTTTGATTTGTTCGCTCAATCGTATACATAATACTTAAGTTATAAATGCGAGTATTCTCGCTGATTTTACATTCCAAGTTTTATACCGTCAACATGAAAAGAAGCTTATCAACAAATTTCATATCAAAAACTAACTAAGTAGAACCACTTATTACTAGTTCAGAATGGGAAATTACTTACATCAAACATTAACAAAAACCCACTTACTTTACAAAAACCAACTTAAGAACAAACCTTAAGATTTTAAAAAACAAAATTAAAAAAAACGAACAAACAAACAAACAAAAAAACAAACAAAAATAATAATACGCGAATTTTTATTCGTTTTCGTCATAGTGATCCCTATCAAAATAAGGAAATGGTCAGATCTCAATTCATTCCATTGCAGTACTTCCCATTAAATGCTATCTATATAAATCGGCTCTTTAGATGCCCTTTTATATTGTTCAAATATTTTACACTATACTCTACACCAAATGCCCATTTTATAACATTGTCCTGATTCATACCTTTCTTCTCCGATACACGGGTCCTGTATAACTATCTTTTTCTGCTGCTACTGTTGCTTCGACTTCGTTTGTGGGGGCCTGACGGTATATAATACAATATGCCTGTTGTTCGAAATCGTAGTAAGAGCATTGAAATAATGATTTTCCATTGTATACAGAGTATGCATAAGGTGAGAATATTTTGCTCTTGGGTTGAGTGGAGAGTTTTGAAGAAGACACTTTTTGAGAAGACAACGGATGTGGGATTGGGGTAATCAAAGTAGCGTATTTATAATGAATTCTAGATAATAACACCAAATTAAAATATTATGAGTAAACTTGAATAATTCTAAACAGTGATTGGTATCTGCTATTTTTCATTGTCTTAGTTATCATCTATTCGAGTTGGGAAGGTCTCGTAGTAGACGTGATTGAATAGTTGGTTTCATACTGTTTTCGTTCTGATATACCAATGAACAAATGATTAGCTTTTGTAGTTGTCTTTTCTCAACATAAAAATTTACGTTAATATCCAATAAGACACAAGTATCGGAGTTATGCGCTATTAGATATTTTTATATTATACGCTTTTTTGAACAGTCTATCGCAAAAAGGCCCACTTTGTATAATTAATTGTAAAAATATTCTATTCTATGAGTGCTGGAGAAGAAGGGGGAGTCAATTAATTATACAACATCTACATAACTTAAACGCCCGAATCTACGAGACCTTGAGTAATTCCATGAAATTGTTCTATTGAATCTATGCTTCGTATATTGATATCGTTGTCGATCAATGGTGATAATGGAATGTAGTACAACTTCACGTTTACATCCCGCAACAGAACGAGATACTAATACATACTTGCGAGAGAAACGGTTCAAAAAAGTTATTATACAAACAAATGTTTTATTACCATGGTAATATACTTACGCCTCCTTCGAAAATTATTATCTTTTCACTTCATCAACAAAGTTCGCTACTGTCTTACAGTACTACGATGGTTGCGCATGCGTTTCACCCCATGACATCGGGTCTAAGTGTCGTGCTACCACAGGCTTATTGTTCACAATAACTCTAATATGTTGAACGATCAACGTGTTTTTGTCGCACAGATTCATATAGTAATATTAATTTTATGATAATACAAAATCATCACAAATGGGGTTCCTACTATCCCTATGGGGGGGGGGGACAGAATATGAGACGGTAACTTTGTTATGTGATAACGACAATTTTACGGGGAACTCTGCTTGATCGTAACAGGATAAAGCATTGAAATGGAAAACGCTACAAGTCATTTGATAAACTTAATGCATAATTGTTTGTCTCATTCTCCGTCTCCTTGTATCAGGAAAGACAAAGGAAAATAAAGTTCAAGATGGGCGTTCGGTTAAGAGAAGAAACCCCGCAAAAACGATTATCGGACTGTCCGATAGAATAGTTGGCCTTTAGTTTTTTACCCCGTTTAATAATTATTATTTATCCCTGTTACCAGGAAGAAATAGGGCAAACCAAATCATAGTTGCTCGTTTATTCGAGCAGAGAGCGGAGTTCTCTGTAAAAACCCATATTAATATGGAACTTGTTCAACAGCGTATCTAACCGCTTAAACCATACCAGACATTACAATGTATTGTATAAATAATATACTGACTATTATCAGAGTTGAAGAATTTCAATCACTGATCAAATCCATCTTACAGCGAAATACTACTGATTTTGGAGCGTCAATATGCACGACTCTGTGAGAAATATAAAAAACAGGATTGAGGCGCACAATACTATATCTGCATTCATTCTGTCATTGAGATTACCCATTCAATCTTCAGTTGTTGATTCGGGTACTCGTATCTATAGGGGAGGGCGTATTATGCATAAGAGATAGATCATGCAAGTTGCATGTGTTGCTTACAGTCTCTTTGTGACATTTATCATCCGCATCTCCGATATACGCAGCACATTTCTTCTTTTTATCTTCCCTTTTTTAGTATTTGCTATAGGAAAAGCGCATGTGATGAGAGGACAATGCCAAGACGGCTCCGTTCATATCAAATAATGTTTGGTAGTCCGAGAATCTGAGCAAGAAGGCTATGTCAGCAGGGGAGACGGGGGAAAACTACTATCTACGTTGTGTTCTATTAACAGTAACCCGCTTGTTTGTATTTTAGCTCTGACCAAATAGCATTTACAACAAAACTTGGTTGGAACAACTGCTACAAACCTATAACAGCTCAATAATATGTAAATGAGACATTCTAGTATTTCTCCAGGTTATGGTATTATCCAGGCAGTTATTAAGATATTCATTCATTGTTAAAGAACATACCGTGTGGGCTTGCAAAAGAAATAGCAAATTTTCGTTGCCGTACTATTGATGCTTCAGAGCGGCTTTACGTTTATTGTTTATTGAATAAATTTTGTTCATTTTTCTATTACCTACTTCACGTTTGCCTTTCTACTTATCCTGGTAATTATGGCTGATCTGGGAAATTAATAATTCCTAACGGGGCAATCATTTCATTTCACCGACAATCATTTCGCCGACAAATATTCACCAACATTATTTCGAAATTATCCTTTTTTGGTAGTTAATTGTCGGTGAAATGCACTGTCGGTGAAATGTACTGTCGGTGAAATGATTGTAGATGAAAGAATACGGACCTTCCTAACTGTCGTTCAAGTATTGTCTTGCCAATTTAACTTGCGCGAGTTCTGAAATTTGAAGCCAGAGAATATCTATGCCATTGTTTACTAACAGGAGAATCTTGCCATATAATCCTTGATGTCTATTCTCTGTTACCTTGGCTTGGTCATTTTGTGTGAGCACATTTTTCTTTTTTGTCTTTGCTTATGATGCACGGACGTTTGTATTCTTCACTAGCGGGTGCTTATTACGAGAAAAGTAACAAATAATTAACCCGATGCATTATCGATTTATCAACGCGACATAGATTGGAATTGTTTGAGGGAGTTACAGTGCGCGAAAAAAGTAATGAGAATAAAATGTATCATAATAAATTTTGATTTTCTTTGTCATATTCAACCAGTTAAAAAAAAAGCTGTATAACACGTGTTAACAAAGCCTGTTAGATAACACGACTGCATTTTGTTTTGATTTTTGTTACACGTTTATTAACTTTACATTCAACACACAATGACCAAAACCTCGCTTAATCAACGTTATATGACAATAACCTCTTTGTGGGAGGCTGGCACGCGTGATGCACAAATTAACTTCTATTCCACCTTTTACTGTATACAAATATATCAAAAAACTTAAAAATAATATTTCTTTAAACCCTCTGCCCCGATCTGGCAGGCCAAGGAAGTTTTCCCCTAAACAGCGTCGGCATCTTGGCCAGCTTGTCTCAGCAAACAAATACTCTATGAGCACTGAACTCTCGAATACTTTAAATGATTATCATTCTAACTTAAATGTTAGTACTCAATGCTCCATAACTCCATATCACGCCACAGTTCCAAAATCCATTCCTCTTCTTACAGCCACTCATAAACAAAATCGAGTGGCATTTGCCATAAAATACAAGAAACAAAATTGGAACAAGGTCGTATTTTCTGATGAAACTACGTTCCAGATGTTTGCAAAATACTCAAAAAGTATTTTGCAAACATGACACTCAGCCTCCAAGTAAGGCCATGGTGAAAAAAAACATCACAATAACAAAAGATTGCTCATTTCATAATCATGCGGTTGTACTAGCAGTATTACTAGCTTCGAGGTAAAAAAGACTTATAACGAATACATATATCATGATTGACCTATTACGCACACTTATTAAATCTTCTCAGGCAGAAAAATTTCCCTGACGATACTGTATCCGACTTGTCTTTATTGGAGCGTTTAATCCATCGACGATCATCATACTACGCCCTTTTTGGCACTGAAGGCTGATATTAGCTGCATCTTAACGATTTCATACAAGGCATGCCAGAAATTCTTCTCTTCAAGGTGAACGATACATAATGAAACCGGATATAACGAAGGAGATTGTGCAGACACTTTTCTCCGTTATATCGAGGAGGGGTTCGCTGTATATACAGTATATCTAATTATGGTAATACATATTGATACATAAAAAGTTCTGTTATATCTTTATTGTAATAGTAATTCAAGATTTACAAATTCATCTAACAACAGTCTAACTACAGCTCTGAACCAGTGACAATCAGTTCCGATTGAACGTCTTGACCGTCACGACCCCTTCTCGGCGGAGATCAAGTATTTCAAGCCCGACCCCCTTTTTCTGCGGGGTAAAGTATTTCAAGCCCGACCCCCTTTTTCTGCGGGATAGAGTAGTTCTCTAAACCCCATTGTGGTGTGGATATTGGTGTGGATATTGGCGATTACCCACTTTGGCCGAATCGTAAGCAATCCGAGATGGAGAGGGAGTCGGACGATTGGCTGCTGTATAGACGCCAGAACACGTCGAAATCCGACCCGAGGTGGACATTATGTATACTGCTAGGACCAAATATTGATATAAGGAGAACGGTTAGTTTAATGATTTTAACTTTACGTTGAATTAATGATAGTTACACTATAAGCTAAGACAATAAGTTTACGACAGTTTGTTGAAAGGAACAGTAAGCTTGCGTGTGTCGGGGGTGGTGTCAGAGAGAAAATAAACAGAAACATAATATTGTCCTTCCCGGAATACATACCACTTCGAGAGAGAGGGGTTTCCAGAGTAGTAGAGTAGTATTATTATTTTTTTTGTCGTTGTATATGATAGCTGACCTCTGGGTAAGGAAAGCGTCTCACTGTAAACAATAAGAGGGGGACGATAAGTAAATTGGAAATGGGGAGGGTGCGTTTTTTAACGTATCCGCTCAGTTAGAAACACAGAATTAGTTTAATCGCTCACGTTTTTAGTCCTTTAGTCGTATGTAAGCGGAGTAGGCGTTGATGGAATGGCTTTCTTTTAGCAGGTAAATTTGCTTTAAAATTTTTGTAAAGACCCTGAAAGGTCGGACTGTCGGAATATGGTTTTTTTTTTAACTGTTATATAACCGTCATGTTACACGATGAAATATTGCAGTCATATGAACAATCTTATATTGTTCTGGCCCATTCTAGAATGGGCTAACTGCGGCTCGGCCCATTTTAAGATTCTGATTTGATGTTGAGATGTTGTACGATGTGATAAAGTATGCTACTAGACGTTGTACAATCTATATATATATATATATATATCTTAAAAAAATTGGTCTGCACAGCAGACGAACATTGCATATTTGCACGACGCAATCGCATGCAATGTAACGTAAAAGATTTTTCTGGATCACGTGCCTTTCTTCCTCGAATTTTGCCTTTGTACTTAATATTAAACGCCTTTGCCAAAAAATGAAAAACTCAAAGTTTTACTCCTCAACAGTCCCAAGAATGATTAAAGTTAGGATTAAACAAAAAAATGAGCTGATTTTGCCAAGTACTAAGGGATAAAAAAAATTGGATTTCTGCACGGCAGACAGACACTGCATATTTTGCACGACGCAATCGCATGCAATGTAACGTAAAAGATTTTTCTGGATCACGTGCCTTTCTTCCCCTTTGTACTTAAACATCAGTACATTATCAGGAATTTACCTGCCATGTCGCACAACCCGACACGTCGCACAGTCCATAATATTTCTATCTGAGTGTCCAATGAAAGGATGATGTTTGAGCTTGCACGACCTGGCAGGTTGTGCGACATGGCAGGTAAATTCCCGATTATCATCAATACTGCAATAATAATAACAGTATTTTCTCATGGCCAACTTTATGTTGCTTGCTCTAGGACTACGTCTAGACAAAGCCTTAAGATTCCAATAACAGGCCGGCTGAAGCGGGATACTTTTTACGTAGACCTGTAAATAGTTTATTTCCGTCGTTATGTACGCATTATTGGCGGTTACACACTACACGTATGCAGTTGGACCGTCAGCGAAGGGTCAACAAACTCGTGTGATATGATAAATATGCGTATGTCGATCTCTTATTTATAATAATAATTATATTACGTCGTTTGCTCTCTATTAAACATTTTGATTGTGAAGGATGACATCTCCCAATACCTGCAATATGGAGAGTATCAGTGGTAGCTTGACAATATACCAAACAACAGGATATCACTGACAGAAGCAGCAAGACTTCAAAGTTCAGCAGTAATTATAATACAGGGTTCATTGTAAATCTAACTGCAATACTAATACTAATAGGTGTTTATGTAAGAGGTCTGTGATACAATATTATAAATAAGATCGACATACGCATATTTATCATATTGGTGTATTGACAACATCTAGTAGCATACTTTATCAAATCTCAACAATAAAAAACGTGTGCCTAAATAAAGACCTCGAAACCTCAACAATAAAAAACGCAATCTTAAAATGGGCCGAGCCGCAGTTAGCCCTCATTCTAGAATGGGCCAGAACATACACTCACCGGACAAAAGTATCGAATCAGCTTGACGATCAATTAGTAAAACATGAAAAATCTAAATTTTCAAACATCTGTATTGGCATTATTTACTAAGTAAACAACCAGAATTTTTATATTGTTATGAAACTAATTGACTGTAGTATTCGAATAAAATACAAACAAGTTGTTATAATGGAGCTATTATCTACCAAACTGCCAATATATATGTTACACATATATGTTGTCACTTCAGCAAATTACAGCTTTGTTATGATACGTTGTGTAAATTTGTCAGTATTTTGTTCGAAAACTACTTCATAACAATACAAAAATTCTGGTTGTTTGCTTAGTAAATAATGCCAATACAGATGTTTGAAAAATTAGATTTTTCATATGTTTTACTAATTGATCGTCAATACTTTTGTCCGGTGAGTGTATATAAACCATTGATAACATTCCAAATCACTGACTATTTAGGTAGAAGAGCATAGTTCACAAGTTATGAAGTTACATTAATTTGTGACGCGTACTGTAAGATTGTTGTTTGCGACTAAAAGCCGTCTATCTGAACATTGACATTATGCAGTTCTTCTCCTCATGTCGTTGATCGTATCAATTGTTTGCAAAAACTCTACTAATTGATTATCTCATTAATAATAATAAATTATTCCGTATCTGGTATTAGTATTCAAAAAATTGTTGATTTGATTGGCTGCTGCCCTTTTTTTACCTATATTACCCGAGTCGTACTACATGCTTCTATAAGAAACATCTAATACACAATTGCCGCAGACTATTACACGCTTACGTGCCTTTCAAGACCGGTAACCATAAAACTGAAAGAGATAAGCTTATACATATTGTATGTTATTTAACCGAGACGAGCATCTCGGAGGGAAGGATTTATAATAATGGTACTTGAAAGGGTGCAAAGAGGATTTACGATTTACTTTATGGCATTCCCTGTGCTGATATGGTAATATGTTGCTGCTGCCATCCTACAGCGGCCACATCCTCAGAATCTTTAATTCCTGGATTACAACGACGCTAAAGAGTCGCTATTATGAAGCCAGTCGGTCAACTGACAATGTATACCGAACAAAAACAAGCATAAAAGTCATAATCGATCTCAAACAATTTTCACCGGATGAATATCGTGGGGGAAGTTAAATACTGTTGCCGAGGAGCTAATATATGTCCCAACGGGGAAGACTAATTCAATGGGCATTGAATATGCGTTGCAGCCTTTTGGTCGTTATTGCATATAGAATCTAGCCTTGTGTAAAACAAATCCCGTTGGAATTGTATAAAACGAGACAATGACGTATATGTCTCATGGGAAGGTGGTCCAACGATTGAGTCAGAACTAGAATAATCTTGAAGAATGGTTTCTGGATGTATTACGAATCAGTCTGCCAAATTCCGCATAATCTACGTAACCATAGGAACAATGCAATCAGAAGATGTGTCACTTGAGCTTTCTCCATTCCTTTCTTCGCCATCATCCGAAGCAACTTAATGTTTCCTAGATCATTACAATTTCTGACGCTTTGACGCGCGAACGGCATTTGTAAATACTCGAATTGGATTGACTGTCCGAAGACTGTGCGAATTTGACGATCAAAATCAACACATAGGACTGAAGATAATTTAACGGGGATTTAGGAAGTTGAGAAAGATTGTTTTATTATTTCAAATGGGAACTTTGAGAGAACGGTCTAAGGAAGAGGATGTATGGATACGGAAAGAGATTTTGTCCAAATAAACTAGCCCAGTGGTACTGCACAAACCGCATTGCTGAGACGATGGTGCGGAGAAAAGTAAGACAAGACTTACAAAGGATGTAGGAAGGACGTTGATCGACAATAGACAATTTGCTAGCTTTGCTGGGGAGATGGTTAAACCCTGACAAAGCTTAGATAATGGTTAGGAATTATTTCGCAAAAATGAGACAGGCACGAACTGCCGAGAAGGGAAATATGAGAGCGCAGTGTAATAATAACCTCGGTGTGTTTTACAGAAGCGGTGACATTGTTGAACAAGACATTTTGCAAAAATTTGTTCAGTTTAGGCGCCTGCGCAGGTCAATCTCTCATTTCCGAGCATGCTGACACATGATTATTCCCGCAATTTTGGAAAGATATTCAACCAAACGTCTCTACTACCTACTGGTTAATGCCGATAACTGAACTGTTTAACGTTGATTTCTCGGGATAATTATTACGAACAATAGTGTAAGTACAATGGAGTTATCGAAAGCGATGGTTGGTAATCTTGTTACAGTGAAACAAGTCTGACTGATATTAACGCTTTGATCTGACAAATAGACGTATTTGAGAAGCAATAGGAATTATTAAGCAGATCGGAAATGGGAAGGTTGTTTCGAGTAATATATATCTGAAAGTTCGCACGAGAATAATGTGATGAAAAGAAAATGAATAATGAGGACGGCGGGTATGAACGATGTGCGATGCAGTAGGAATGTGGGGAAAGGGGCGATGGTTGATGGAAATACGGACGAAAAACGAGACGGATAGAACCCATGATTTCAGGTCATTCATTTTCGTCGGCCAGGCATGATGCTGTGCCAATGCGAAATATAGGGAGTACGGTTACGACTTGACTAAATGAAATTTTAGTGCTTGGCTTTATGATAGCACCAGGTGAGACATTGGGAAATGTAGAATGTGAACTTGTAGAAGTGGGATGTTTTTAGGAAATCATTATGGGAAATTGAAGATAAAAGTCATCGATTTTAATGTATTGTGTGCTTTTTCTTACGTGCAGCCTTTTTATTCAAATAAAAAAGTTTTTGCGAGCGCAGCAATTCCTGCGAGAGTTAGAAGCTGAAGATAAGCTAGAGAGGCTGGAAGGTTTGAGAAGAAGCATACCCGGACGAGAAACATGTTCTAGAAAGACAGGAAGACTGGGAAAGAGGTTCGGGCAAAGGAAGGTATGTGTGTGAAGAATGGAGTGCGAGCGCTGCGTGGGCGTATATGGGCTGGAGTGGAAGAAATGCAGCAACCAAGAATCCCATGCTTATAAAATTTACATGCATGTTAAGCGTAACTGTTGTCAATGTGTGTGCAAACATTGACGCGGACGGACCTATCATCAAGATACCAATTCTTCACTCGACTAAGTCATATGGTATGTATTATAATGTTCCGAAGACGATGAATGCACTATGCATTGGGTAACATAAAGGATATTTTCGCAATTAGAATGAAAGGAGTGAAGGGTAAGAGGGATATCCAGAAGAGCAGTATGAACAGAGCTCGCTTTGTAGAGTTTGATAGCTCGGCGCTATACAGCTATATGAAAAATGATTACAGTATTAAATGAGAGGAGCTTCGGTAGCTTAAAGACGAGCGGAGATTGGGAATGGCAAGAGAAGATGAAGATCATGTAAACGTTTATCGGCAGAAAGACGATTCTGCTCGCTGATCAGCAACGTGTTGTGAGTTAAGCGTAAAACTTTATTGAAATGTCGATCCGTCTTACCGCCAACTCTCTATTAAATATATTGATATATCCCGCGCCCCAACAAAAGCTGACAAACACGGCAACAGAGCCACTAGAGGAAGATCATAACAATGTCCTATGTGAAATCAACGCAGCACGATTATTAAGACTTGATGAAGAATTCAAACAGACAGAACAAGGTCCGATAAAGGACGGTGTAACAACGGAAGATGCT